ACATCCAAGGTGAATTGGCGCAAAAAACTCCGCCCTATATTGGTTGCCAGTCACTCAGTATTACAGCGATAGCAAAGTCAAGTACCGGTACCATGTTTAACATGTAGACAACCAAATGACTGCATGAACAGCAACTAAAGAAACGCAAGACTGAGCGGTGGAAGAAGACATGCAGGCTGAGGTAAACAGCTCTGTACTGGATGTTTTTTTTTGTAGGCACAGAAAGCTAGGTGTCTGGTTGCCTTCCATTAATTTGCAGCCATCTGACAAGATGCATGTATGGCTTACTAGCCAAATGACTGTACCTGTCCGAAGGTATTATCTGGATAACATCGAATAACGTAATTTCATTACATAATCAAATTAAACCTGGTAAAAAAGGAACATCATGACATTGCTTATCCTAAATTTGCATGCATGCAATACGTCATTAAAATCTCAGTTCAACAATCTCCATTTCAAAAAATATATTTCGCCCACAACCGCATTGACTGTTAAACAATTAGATGCTTTGAATCACTTTTTGAAGTGTAGCAATATCTGCATTCAAGAATATGCCAAGAGCACCATGCCACCAAAATAAACGAGAATGATTTCGAACTGAATATGTGGATTAATCAGAAATATTTCATGAACAAATTATTCATAGACATGACGTGGAATATATGTGGTATAATCATTTTGACGAATATATTTGTTGAGTACACGCACGTACACGCACCACAGTATTATGTCTGATACGTTTGTCATTTTCCAGGCACCGGCGGTTTCTGAGCTTGAACACTCTCCCCATAAGCCTATCTGCAATAAATCTTAACAGAATTTACGTGCCTGTCTACAGAGCATTAATAAAATGTGCTCTGGCAACTCTTAAGTGTGAGTGGGTGTGTGTGCGCGTATTTATACTCCATCTGCTGTATAAAGTCTATTTGCATACACTCAGTAGCCAACGAGTCACTGCCACTGGAAAGAGCTTGATTTACAGATTCAGACAGCATATTTGTTGGGAAGTGGTCTCGGTCCTCTATTATAGAAATAGGAAGGTTGCCTTAACATTTACAAATGTTCTGCAAGATTTGGGAATTTGTCGGTGGGAATTTATGCCAGGAAAGTTCTTACACACCAAACTCAAACATCCATGCTTTTATGGACCTTTTTTTTTCTATCTACACGTCCCTCCTAAAATCTTCTGCCATTAAATTAAGTGAGAGTGAATTTATGACTGCCATTTTTACTGCCAAGATACACTATATTACCGGAGTGTTTTGCTCCCATTACGGTCATTTGCATTAGGATGGTGAAGGACATGCACTAGCTCCAATGAGAAGACTCGGTTTTGATGTGATTTTCTCTGAGCTTAAACAATACAAAACCTACATAGGTAATATTTTTAGATTATTTAGTAATTCAATCTGAAGTAGTTTTATGGACATACTGGAACAAATTCTTGATACGACATGGGGCTTTTTTGTTATAAATTAATAATTAGACGTCAGGCCTATGGCTTCCTCCCTCAGTCCAAAAACATGCAACATATCTTTATGACAGACTAAATTATTGCTGTGAACGTGAGTGTGAGTGGTTACGTAGATTGTCGAGGGTTTCAAATTCTTAATCAGAGTCATCCAGACACGGCTACAGTAATCTTTCACCTTGACCCTGAACTGGACACATGACATAAAATTGATTGTTGGATGGGAATGGTCGGACAACTTTAATCATGAACCCCTGCTCACCAACCTCCACTACCAGTTGAACCAAATTTTTTGCACCATTTGGTACACTGCATTATTAGGCGCAATATTAATAAATGGGTCTAGTGGATTATTTAAAAAAAAAAAAAAAATTGAACATTGCTCGTCAATCTAGTGACCAGTGTTTGGGTTATTACTTTGGCTAATGCTAAATGCTATCTTGTTTGACAGTTCAACACCTGTTAAGAAGTTAATGCACTCACCAGGTACACCATCTTCCTCGTTCACTAGAACCCATTTTTTTTTTTTTTTTTTTTTTTTGCTTGGTTACGGCAGCTATTGAAAGCTGGCTGTGTTGTTTAATGCAGATTCATAATATCGGTATGTGATTAAAACATAAAAGATCCAATTGTACATAACACACAGTATTTTCTGTCATTAGGTGAGAATAAATCATGAGCAGTGCTGCAGGGCTGAATACATGCATGATTGCGCACACAGCTAATGATGATCAGGGAATGACCTGTCATTTTATACATCACAGGAAGCAGCAAGAAGGATCGAGTTACAGTGGTGAAGCCTGGGGCTTTGCTTTGAGTGTAAGGACTGCAGATAGTTTCAACACGCTTGGCTTTCAAGGAGTTCAGATAAAGGATTGTGGTGATAAACCTGTGGAATTTCCAAGCACACACACAATTTATGCACATATTTTTTCATAACAGGGTCTCCTGAAAATAAGAATGTGGTTGACAAAATAGTATTCAATTGAATTCCTACCATGAGAGCCATTAAAGGCAAAGAATTGCCCCACACCCCCATTTTACCAGTTGCCCACTAATTAATTTTGTCTGAGCTAGTTGCATTTAACATTTAACATGCTATTCTGTTTATATATATATATATATATATATATATATTTATGTGTTGTGTTTCTCGTTTTACAAATGGCTATATATATATATATATATATATATATATATATATAAAATTGCATCAATTTCATGTCTGTCACCTGCAGGCAAAAATCATTTGGTGCTGTGGCAGATTTTGTTGACAGTTACACTAATGGCTATTCGCTGCCTCAGCCGTCCCATCCCGAGGCGATCCCAGGCCATCAGGGAAACATTGTTTCTTCAGCGTGTCGCAAGAGAATCATATGCATACAAAAACTGCAAAGCCTAAACTGGTGAATGGTGACCCATCTCCGATATCCCTGTGTTTACATTTCGGGGGTTAGACTGAACTCACCTTTATTTATGGAGCACTTTCAATACTAATTAAAAAAAAAAAAATACAGTCTGGAACTGCTACAATTTGACAACAATTCTAGCGACATCAAAATTTTGTTTAATTTAAAACTTTCACTTTGTAAAGGTGCCATTATTGACACAGTTTATCATGATGCAGAATTAAACATTGTACACATAGAACCAGTGAAATTGATAAAATATACAGATGGACATTTTGAGTCTGCAAAATAATTTAATCCTACAACATATGATCACAATTTTACATTTATACAGAGTGCATGGCTAAATTTTCATTTGTAATTCAACGTCAAGAAACAGAATTTTTATGCAGCGCTTAACAAGACTTTCATTTTTCTGTGTACAGAACACATCACACAAAAATACAGCAGTGTTGCATTTTACACGGAATCGATTTGTTTCTTGAATTTTGACATTTTCAGACTTTTTCAGCTGAATTTTTCTTGGGCGTGTTCAATCCTATAATTTTCAGAGACATGATGGGGTTGTGCCAACAGTACTACTTATTACTACTGCGACCAAAAAGAGGGAACATTGCTAACCCAGTCATTGCTACCACCTGATGAAAGTGGCTCCACAATATTCAAAGAAGACAACGGCAAAATACAACACAGGAGACAAATACCTAAGCGACCTACAACGACAACAGGAACAATTGCAAAATAATAACATCTTGATTATTTTACCAACAAACTAGATGCTATTTAACAAAAAAAAGTCCTGAAACATTACAGATGCTTAGTAATGGAAAAGTAAATCCAACATATTGTGTGTTCCACCTTGAACAATCCACCTTAATGAAGACTTTTTGTCAGATCATTAAACAAGTGTCCCGAGGACTAATTGATGGCCTGGTTGGATCAATGATGACAAGTGCTGACAAACAATCCAACAGGAGAAACAATCTTTTCCTCTCTCATCTAACCACCTGCAGGAGCAGACTGGTCGAACAAATGTCAAGCATCAGTGACAGTTATTGTAGAGTGTGTGTGTATGTATGTGTATTGTGTGTGTGTATATATATATATATATATATATATATGTATGAATATATATATATGAATGAATATGAATGTATATATGTATGAATATATATATAAAGCCTACATGGAACGCCATAACCAGGTGGCTGGCATAGTCTACCGAAACATCTGTGCAGAGTATGGACTGGAGTGATGGGAATTCCGGCTCCTTTTAGAAAGCCGGTTCTTTTGGCTCAGCTTTCGGCTTCCAAATGGCTCCTCAGTTTTTTTGTTGCTTAAATTAATTTACTACCAAAAATCATGTAAAATTATGTGTAAAATGAATTACTAATGTAAAAAATATACATTATATCAAATATTTATGATTTATATGGCTTTATTTATATTCTTCTGAACATACTCAACATGGAGTGCTACAAAAAATAAATTACAAAGTACAAAAACAAAGACCTATCTCAAAACAAGGTCAACAAAAAGTTCCAATCTCTGATGGTGTATATTTAGAAGCTTTTAACTATTTTCAGTAAAACAACATAAGTAAGCTTTGATTACCACACAACAAATTATAAATTAAAATTATATATATATATATATACACACACACACACACACACACACACACACACAATGCATTTCTGATTGAGTATAACATATCAGTTCATAATCATGGTCTAAAATACCCACAATATCTTTTTTTTTTAATGTTACCAACAAAATAAAATCCTCTCTCTGTGATTGCAAAGAGGTTCCATGCGTCATCCCATCAATTTTCGATTCTTTCATCCCGTTGTTTTGCTTTTGGCCCTTAATGCAACTTTTAGCCTAACCCTTGATGTTTATTTTTTTTCCATCTTTTTTAAAAACTACTTTGTCAGTCCCTGCAATTGGAAACAAAATGTCAGTGCATCTGTTTGATCGCTAACGCTGGTGGGGTTAGACTGCTGTACTATATTTCATTATAGCAGTATTTTATTGGGCATTGAGCAGTATTATTGTATCGTATGACTGAATACATCGTTAACTTTGTTGTTGTAGAGTATTATATTGGTCTGTTCAATATCGCCACAAATCTATGGCAACCGGGCTTTATAAGCAAATTCTAAGCACACAAGCCTCCAAGAAGTCCTAAAAAAAACCCCAAAACAACACCAATACAACATTGAAATACTGCATACAATGAAGAATAATCTTTTCTGATGCTCCATTCTTTTCAATATGCAGATATTTAGCGAGGATTTACAGACATTTTAGTAGCATACGTCAAATCATGTGATTACAGACATCATTTGTGTCATATAGATTCACATATAAAGGACTGAAATGCTTGGAAAATGAAACATTTGTAAAACACGACATACATTATAATTCTTTCACAGAAAAGTTGAACACCAGACATTATTTGGTGACTATATGTATCTCATATGTAACCATCTACTTTGGTCACGGTTTGTTCGCATGAGGTCTGGATGAGGATTTACTGCAAATGTAATGTTTGGTGTTTTAAGAGCTTAATTGTGAATACAAGAAAAAATCCATCTACTATAACTTATATGTTCAGTATTACATACTGGTATATCTGTATAACATGGATAACGGTACTAAACATATTATTGCTCTATTCATAAACTAACTCTTTGTCGATGCAAATGGAACTCAGGACAAGTTGATATACTATATAGTGCAGCACTGTGCAAAAAATATAGACCAACTCTAAGCATTGTTGTTTTAATTATCTTAATTGTCAGCAATCATTTTGCTTTTGAACAACTTTGCTCGCCAGATTATGCAGAGAAGTCGGATTCATAATTCTACATTCATAGCATTTAATAGAGATACGGTGCATGTGCTAAGGAAGAAACCATTGCATCCACAGAAAGGCGCAGATATAGGAATTTACTTAATTTCTGTCCAGCAATGCCATCAATAGTCAGAATCACTAAGGCACCAGACGCCACAAATCTGAAAGTAACAAGCAGGTGGACAATTAACACAAATATAACGTGCCGCTTTTTTCACCCTTTTATTAGCACTTGACGTTGTAGTTATGCTATACACTGTTGTCATTATTAAATTGGTAAAACAATACATAAATGCTGCTTGTGACTTTTGCACATTATTGTATTTTACTCTTGCTCAACACAAACACATAATACGTGTGTCATCAAAGTTCCAGGACTGGCGGCACAAAATATATTTTCAAATTGCAATCTTGGTTTTCCCCTTCAAAGTAATCTCCATGGAGTCGAACACATGTTCTCAGCCTTCTCTGCCGCGTGTTCATGCACTCTTGGAAGGATTGGTCCTGGATCCTCCACAGTTGACATCACGGCCATCTTGATGCTGCCCACATTTTCAAAACGGGTCCCCTTAATGACTCCTTGCGTTTTGAGCCTGGGGGAAAAATGAGATAAAAATTCCATGGAGCCAGGTCAGGTAAGTCCTCATGGGGATTTTCCTCTGAGCCATGAACTTTTGGATGGCACTGTGAGCAGGTGCGTTGTCATGGTGAAGCAGTCACGAATTGGCTTGGTACCACTCTTGCATCGCCTGGAATCTCTTTGTAGACTTGGTGGTTTATCTTCTGGCCCACAATGAATAGGGAAACTAGTTTGGGTTTGAAATCTAGCTCTTGTGACACGGCTCCCGGAACTTTTCTGACACACTTTGTCGACACACCACAGAGACAGAGACATTTCCTTGGTATAGTATTGCACTATTCTCAAAACCCACCTAAATTAGAAGAATAAGTATGTCAACTTCCCTTTGATCACATGTAAATAGTGGCACTTAACTATGACTGTAGTGAGAATATTCCTTTAAAACATGATGCTTGACGCAATTGGTCAACAGTCACCTCTCCGGTTGGAGGGAAGGAATACTCAATACGGAGGAGGCATCAGATGTTCCAAAGTCAAGTAAGGATCCTTCATGATTGGTTGCCACCACACTGGAAGCTTGAGTTCATGAGGAGAAAACCGACCATTCGGTTTGGACAATACATTTTGATTCATGGAATATTCTCTGCTACACACAATAGGAATACAGACAGCAAAACAACACCCTTCATTTACAATGAAATTGGCCATTTGACCATTGGAATTGTAGACTCAGAAGATTGTTCCAATCTCCAATTCCTCAGGTCTTACCTTTGAAGCGTTCCAACCAGTCGTGGAAACATTCTTGACTTTTGGAACCCTAACATTATTAGCATCAAATAAAATATGTAGGGTCACGTGGAAGCCATCGTAGATCTCTATTGGTTTGAATCCTAGTGTGGCAGTAGTGACTTTTCTTGGTGCTGTGCCTTTTACTGCCTAGTTTTCATCTTGAAACTCCTCCGGACTTGACACTTCATCATTACTTAGGACCTCTCTGTTGGTGAAGGTCGCTGCGAGGGATGCACCGAGTGCTTGTTTGACGGGCGTCATCTCTGAGAGGATGATATTATCATGGCTCACCAGTGTGGCCTTGTCCATGATCTCCTTGCTGTGTTTGGAGACCACAGCATCGAAGAAGTCATACTTATGTGACAGTGTGCCACTTTCGAATATGTACTTTGTCAGGTAGGAAAATACCACATTTGCCAAAAAGGATGCCACCATGGCCGCTGTCTTGAATGGGAATCTCTGCTGGACAAAATACTCGACGTCACCGGTGAGGTGGTGAATCTTCTCCTGGATCACCCATCCAGGGTAATAGATGAAGGGAGGAAGTTTTAAATAGGGTTCGCCTCCGCCAATTCGGAGCAAAAGTCCAAAGACGTAGGCAGCCACTGAGCCGTAGGTATTTGTTCCTTTGACGAAAAGGACACTGAGAAGTTGGGGAAAGACTATGACATAGACCAGGTCCGAGCTCAGGTACCACAGGCCATATACTGTTCCTGTTAACAAAGCCATGGCTGTGGCAAGGGCTCCGAACACGAAGATAGTGAGACGCATCACCCAGACAATCTCACGATCCGAAGCCTAGGGCATAATTAGAGAAGGATCAACGGAATATGTATCCATCAAGTCCTGGATGAGATATTTGTTTGACTTGGCTCATTGGTTAGATTGATATGGAGTGATTTGACTACTCTATCAAAAATAATGAACATAGTGTATTTTCATGATTTAAGACAAGACATATAAGTAACAAACTGAAACTGCTACATGAATGACGACATACAGTATTACTGGTGCAAAGACTTTGTGCAAAATGCTCCAATTTGTAACAACCGGATCGCGGTCTTACCGACTGTCGAAATGCAAGTTGATAGATGTTCCTGGCAAACATGGAGCTGGCCGAGAGAATGGAGGAATCTGCGGATGACATGACGGCAGCTGACACTGCTCCCAGGCCAAAGAAGGAGATGTAAGGTGGGCAGAGGTGCTGTAGCACAATGGGAAGGATCATGTCGGATTCGTCTTTATCCTTTGGAGGGAGGGCCCCATAAGACGTCTGGTTCCAGTCTAGAGATGAAGATGAACATTTGAACTGCATTTGTGATCATGTTTGCAGGAGTCAGCAAATTGTAGTGGATTTGTGGTGTAGAGGGCTGTGGAATTCATTATGTACAATACTGTATTGCAATTCAGTAAGTCATTAACAGCAAGCACCATATTAATATTACAATACCTGCCCCGATGGAAGATGATAAAGTTGGTAGATTACATTGCTCGTACACTGTATGTTAAAATAAGCATAAATTTGAGGTTCTAATTTTACAGTGACTGTACGATAGGTGTAAGCTGGCTTGCAGGTTTGACTCCACTGCTGTTCTCTGACTTTCTTTACTCTCCCAGCTTGTGACGTATTTTCTATGCCACGTTTTGAAAATTAATTTCATTCTGTAGAGGTGTACATTCTCCAAACAAGCAAAGGTTGGTTAATGCTGCATGGTTATACAGTACATGAAACAGCTTCAGACGAGCTGGATTAATTAGCTCGTCTTCAGATGTAATATTCACTAAATGTACGTGTTTTGATGGCTCTGTGCATGCCGTGGCCCGATGCTTCTGCCACTTGTTTACCCTCGAGTCACAGTTGGCGTCTACATTTACACATCTGATGTAAGCTTGGATGCTGTAAACAACCCCGCGCGGCAACATTTTTCCTTTGATTGAAATGTCCTTTTGTGATGAAGGTTGTGATTCCTGGATTGTTTTGTGATAATTCATTATGACTGAGAGATTTTGACATGTTCATATTCTTCCTAAATTTGAATTTGAGAGAGGATGGTATAGAGCAATGATTCCCAACTAGTGTGCCCTGGCACACCCGTTGAGCGACACCCGTGCAAACTTCCACCATGGTACAGCGCCAATGGGCAAGGTAACTGGCAAATGACACAGAAGTTCATTCATTTTCTCCAGAAATGTTCAAAGTAATTTTTTTCAAACTCCCATTCCATCCTTTAAGAATACCTCAGTTCAGATGAAAGCAAACTAAGGACCCAGCACATATGGCAGTGTGTATTTACCAGTGGATGCCCCTATAGCTCCTATGAGGATGGAAGGAACTGCCATGACCAAACAGCCGAAAGCAGCGAGGAAGGAAAGGACCTGGGCGTAGGTAGCTGAAGAGGCAGAAAGAACCCGTTGAAAATAGACCTGCCAGGGAATCCCCCCCAACATCTAGAAACAGAAATACAATTGTATTCACGTCTTATAGAGTTTTTTATCACATGAAGTACGATAATTGCAATTGCTCCCGCCCCCAAAATAAACATCAATCCTATAGAGATTTACTGGTTGGCATGATGGATCTTCCTGAAGCCAGGTATACTGTAACTTACCAGCAAACAGAAATTATCTGCCCAGAGCCATTTGTCTCCAGGGTCAATTTTCCCCAGCCAGGGTGACTGGTGGATTGCCTCCTTGGCTGTCACGCTGATGTCTGACACGGCAGGATTGGACAATGCAAAAGGCACACTGATCCACTGATGGTCAGATGACATCGAATGAAAATATCGCAACAGTTAATTGATAATCTGTGTCATGTTTCTGGCATTTTGTTTGACTGTGGAACTCACCAAACCCACAAAGATGCAGAAGAGCTGAACTACGTCTGTGTAAGCAACAGAGTAGAGTCCTCCCAGAAGAGTGTAGAAGATCGCAATCAGGGCTGAGATCACGACTGACATGTTGATGTTTATGTCCACGATCACACTCAGAGTGGCCCCTGTGGGACAATATTGTTAAAAAGAAACTCGTCAATATCAGTATTTACCAACTTTTATCGCGACGAAACACATATTCTTGAAGATAAATCTCACAGAACACCAAACAACTATGTCCCCCTCCCCACCAAAATTTATATATGATTATATGACATTTGTAGCAAATCAATAATTTTCGTATCAATTAAGTGAAGAGGGATAAATTTACACAGTACATCTAATGATCACACAAATGCGCGGTGACATAGTGGTCGCAAATCACTGGTCTAGACAGATAGTATTTAAAAATCACCTACCCAAGGCAGATAAAATGGCTGCAGACCAGAAGATTTCACCCATGACAGCAGGGATGAAAAGCAGACCCCCCATCCTCTTTCCATAGAGCTGTTGGAAAGGATCCAGCATTGTGACATAGCCACGGGATCGCATGGGTTTGGCAAAAAAAAGACCACCTGGAATAAATTAGAAATGATGTCACGACAGATCATTGTAAAATGTGTATATTAAAGGACTTGACACAACTCAAACACCTTACTAACTAATGGCTTGGGACAAATGGAAGCCACATGCGTCACTATTACCCAGAACCTTGTATTTATCTCAGCCAATCATCAAAACATGTACTGCAATGCCTTGCCGGAATCGAACCTTGCACCATGAGGCGGACGTGCTAACCAGTCATCCACAGTACCGCTTGTATTTTTTTAGATGAAAAAACAAATGCTTTGATTTAACTGACATGTCATATTAGCTTCTGGGCCCTGGGGTCACCTGATGGTCAGTTAGGAAGGAGATCATTTCGACGTACTTAAAGTTTAAAGTGCTTTATTAGCAATAAACATTGTTATTATTATTTATTTATTTTTTTTAATAGACGGAAGTAGCCTGAACCCGAGTATAGCCTATTGGCTATTAAAAAAGTGCTATAAATTAAACAAAGATTTGTACTGGAACACTTGTAAAAATTATGAAAGACTTAATAGCCTGAACTTGAACATATAGACCTGGCCTGGTATACACAGAACGTGCTGTAAATGAAACAAAGCCTGTCTGGGGACACTTTAATTGAAAGAGGACAATACTTAAATTAAATAGCCTATAAAATGCTTTAAATGTAACAACTGAGGACACTTTTACTTTAAGAGGAATTTAAAAAAATGAAACACGTGTAAACTTGTGTGTATACATCTTCAAGGCTGAACTTACTGAACTACAGAAAACCACAGAAAAAGTTCTCTGACAAACTTTCCCCTTTGCTTTATAGTTCCAAACACACGGTCAAACCAAGGATTTGCCTCCTCCCATTCTCGTCAATATTTTTGTTGCCGTTTCCACTTTTGAGGATGCGGTGGAGTCTCGGGAGTATCCGTTGTAGTTGACATTTTTATAACTTGCGGTGCGGCCTGATCAGGACAGGCAGCGGCAGCGCAAAGGGGCTGGGCTGCCTGCGTGCAGGCAGACATACAGAGGATTTGGCACAGAGCAGGGCGAATGCAACAAATTGACAGCGGTTAACCTATTTTTACAATTGTAAAACAGTTACGATTGGTAAAATGTTTTCTGCCCTGTGAATGCTTTTTAACCAACCAGTAAGGAGCGAGCCTAATTACACATGGTAAATAGTAGATGTTACCTAGAACAAGGCTGAGAGCGTAGCCGAAGGGTGCTTGGGCCCAAGCCAAGCCATAGTCAGGCAAGTAGACATACTCAGCTGTCCCATTGATGTAGCCTCCACCCACCCAAGTAGCTGGAAAAAAAAAGACACGATTGGTTGTTTCACCACCATTGGTTGTTTCTATGGTAACAAAGTGGGTCTACTCACCGGTCATTGTGAATACACCCACAAACAAACCAATGTCCCGGCCACCGACCATGATGCTCTCACTCCGGTCGCCGCCATCACCCACTCCGGAATTCTTGTTCTTCCACGCCGCCCAAATGCCCACGAACAGAATCACCAGATAAAAAACCACAATGGCCACTATACCCTCAACATGGACGGTCATCTTGGTCCGTGTCTTCAAGTGCTCATTGAGAAAACTACTGCACAACAGACAAAAAGAAATGGAAGAAAGAAATATAGATTGACAGTTCTACATGTATTCAGTCCAAATATATACGTCACCTTTAATAGCGGTCAAGGATGACTTAATGTTTTGAGACAAGTTCTCTTAATAAGTATAGCAAGAAACCCAACCCTGCTCAAAAAGTGTGCTCACATAAGAACAAGAGCACACCATTTTCACATCACAAATAAACATTAACTGCACATGAGGTCCACAGCCAGTGACTCTAACACCCAATGTGAAAAGCAAGCTTTTTTTTCCCCTCAGTGAACAAAAAACACTTTTTATCGTAAAATCTAATTAATTTGATGCAAACAACAAAACACACCAACTTTTTTGCTTGTGCACATTGACCAATGTCCTTTGGAATCAATGGACCACATTTGTGGGGGTATTTTACACTATTGTATGCGTGTAGAACATAGTTCGAAAAGGTATTTCAAGGTTTTCTAATATCTTGTGCACTGTGTATATAATCCCTTATTACAAAATGCATCGAAGAAAGACAACTTAATAAAATGCTTTCTGTAAATATTTTGGTTTATTTAACTAACATGAAAAAATTGAACATTTCTGATGCTTGCACAATATGATGCACATCATTTACAATCTCTTTCAGCAATTGCAGTGCAAATTAACCCCCGCTATAAAACACATTCCTTTTCTATTATAACTCTTATATTATTATTGGAAAAAAGTTCAATTTTATATCTTGCTCCTCAAAATGAAGACACACAACAAAGGTTTGAACTCTCATATGCTGCAGATGAGGCTACAAAAATATATATTTTGCCATTAAAATGTAAATTTCCTTGTAGTTCTATGGCTAATGCATTTCTTTTCACCCTTTAATTTTATGAACAAAATCCAAAATGGACATGGAGCAATTCAGAATCCATTAAATATTTAGCTTTTAAGAAAAAGACCCACATAGTTTTCTTTAGTTGTGTACATTTTAGTTAAGTAAAATGGAATATGATCTGATTGATTCAATCCAAGAGAGAAGTTACGATAGAGCTATTGTTTGAACTCCAATGTGCCGCAGCCTAAGAATCAGACCTGAGTCGCAGCTCCTTGTTACGCCGACCTTGTGATTTCTCAGGTGCGGCAAAACACGATTGATCCATGTTTAAAATCAACATTTGTCACTTTGGCTACTTGTAGACCAACACATAACAGCTCAGGAAGTGGAAAATAAAGTGAAATCATCAGCTCACCTTTTTCTTTCAAGGAATATGAATGACTTGACGCCCACAGTCAAAAGCAGGAATAAGGAGGTTCCAAAATTGTATCAAAGTTGCCTGATGGACAGAAGTTATATTTCACCTTGCACTGGTGTTGAAAGTCCAAGCCCGATTATCTTACAGTGTTTTGAAGTCTCCAAATCCCTGGCACATCTGTGGGAAATACGAGTGTGTGTGTGTGTGTGTGTGTGTGTGTGTGTGTGTGTGTGTGTGTGTGTGAGTGGGAAATACGTGTGTGAGTGAGAAAAAAAAGAGAAAGAGAGAGAGAGAGAGAGAGAGAGAGAGAGAGAGAAAGAGAGAGAGAGAGAGAAAGAGAGAGAGAGATGGGGAGGGAGTGAGAGAGAGGAAAAGGTGGGTGGGGGTGGTTTGTCGTGGGTGTGGAGATGAATGGGAGTGGTGGGTTTATTGGATGCTGTCAGGGTGGGTAGATGCTGGATGAATGTCTTCCAGGGTAGGACCAAAATAGCACCTAATAGAGAGTGGCGTGACGCACAGCCTTGTCTGCAAAGCATAGAGAGTGGCGTGACGCCCAGCCTTGTCTGCAAAGCTTTCCAATATGTGAACATCATATTGGCAACAGGATGAAATGTTCACTTGGTTACTTTTCAGCCTTGATTCATAATCACTGGACTGGCCTCGCTTGCTCAACTATGTCAAAGCACTCGCAATACTCTGGTTATAAAATGGTCAAGTTGAATGATTTGCGTGTCCATGTTCCCAATTTTATGGGCCACTTTAAGTCAGCAGCTGTGAATCAATCGTTTTAGATCCGCACCACGAAGTCTTAGGTTTAACACTTAAGTTCAGAGCACTGAATGTCATGTCAGAGAATTTATGAGGTGGTGGTAATGGGAGAAAACAATGGCTTGACTCTTATTTGGGTGGGTCGTGTGTGCTACAGGTGGTTAGTCAATGTTCTTTCTTGAAGACACTACTTGCAACACTGTAAAAAAAATAACAATAAAGTAGTTGGTCATCATTTGTTTACACTCAATCAGGGATGCTAACTCATTGTACCAGGCGATGAAATAATAGTGGGCTGTTGTTTTGTTTTTATTCTCCCAACTAATTTTAAGCAAACCTTTCAGCTGATCAGTTCAGAGTTTTGGTCCATATGACTACAGTATTTGTCTTGGGAAACAATTGGGCAGTGGTGGCCAAGTAGATAAGATTGCTTGCCTCCGTGTAGACACTTGTTCAAAACCATCCACCCACAACACTGCTGGGGAAACACTACTGCGGTGTCTTTGAGCAAGGCAGTGATACCCCAAACTTCTCCCGCTTCAGTGTGTGGCACTAACGGTGTGTGCAGTTTTTACTGCTGTGATGGGTCGAATTCAGAGGTAACGTTTTGTGGCTGTGTATATGCATGACATATACAGCTAAAGACGATTCTTCTTTTAATTAGTGGCTTGTCTGGGATCAAAAACTAAACATACTGCAATACGTAATTTTCTGGTCACTATTTCAAGCTTGTTAATATGGCTACATTTGTAGAGGCTTTCAAACGGAAAATGACAGAACTGATTCTTTTAATTGGAAAAAGGTGAATGACTGTTTTATACTTTTTATTGCTTCATCTGTTGATCAAAGTTCCGATTACAAAGCTGCGCAGGAGGCCATTCTTTGTTTTGATGATGAAGTGCATGCCACAGACTGTCAACAACAATTTCGGACACCGAAAAAGAATGAGTCTCAGTCTGGTGGAGTTTGCAAGAGAGAGGCAACGCAGTTAAAGATCGAGATGACTCGAAAAATGTCATTCTGTTGGAGCTGTTCAAGCGTTGTGTGCATGACAAGTTCACTCAGAAGTCAACCATTAGACAAAATCACCAGGCACCGATGCCAAAATCATTTCACATAAACTCACTTGCCTCCAAAGCAGAACTTGCAAACTGTCTAGTTTGTTGCTTTGTTGGGAAGTTCACTGACTGGGAAACTTCTGGTCCTTTTTGCAAAGCTCTTCTATAATGGGAGGTGCCAAATCGGTTTTGGGAGGTGCCAAATAGGTTTAGGCCTTTAATTCAAAGAGAGTTGTGTCTGCTTGATGAAAACGTGTCGTGTTGAAAGGTGTGCAATATAACCAACGAGATGGAAAAGTGTGGTGAATGGAAAACACTGGTCGCGTTATCCATAAAAGCATGTTAAGTAGACATCTGCAGCCCTATCGATGAGAGACGAGAGGAATCAGGTTAAACATAAACATATACATATATATATATATATATATATATATATATATATATATATATATAGTACAATGATTGGGTCAGTGAAACAAAATTATATGCATCAAGAAAATAATAGATGAAATGATGGCATTTAAGGGACACACTTTAATGTTGTCCAATGACGTGGTGAAGTAAACCACCCAAAACAAATCTACATGAATATTTTTCCTGATCTTACCGAGCTACAAAGTATTCCTAAAACGGTATATATATATATATATATATATATATAGTACAATGATTGGGTCAGTGAAACAAAATTATATGCATCAAGAAAATGATAGATGAAATGATGGCATTTAAGGGACACACTTTAATGTTGTCCAATGACGTGGTGAAGTAAACCACCCAAAACAAATCTACATGAATATTTTTCCTGATCTTACCGAGCTACAAAGTATTCCTAAAACGGACAGTATTAAGCAGTATGCAGTGTCTTTCGGATTGTATTTCAATCTAAATACCAGAATAAAATGAGCGCTTCAACAGTACTGTTACAGCAGTACAACTTGGGTGGCGAAATGCTGCCCACTGGTGGTACTTTACCCACGTTGCAGTGTGATGGGCTGAGTTTCTCCTGAAAAGTTCACTTGACTGTTGTCATTCAGTACTGTATTTCAGTTCCATGTGATGCTTAGGTGAGCTGGTGTTAAACATGATTTCCACACAAACATTATACATAATTATTCAGTCTGTAACCACTGCTGGAGGCCGAGCAAAGTGAGGGTGCACGATTGCCCTTGAGAGCCTCTGTAGGATTATAGGGAGGAGCCGCTGGACAAGTGTTGTTGATGTAAGGAGGAGGGGATGACGGCTGACTCCTTTGCCTTTGGGGACGCCTCTGCGGCCGCGCACCGCTGCTGCTCCAGCACAGGACCAGTCCTCCACACAAACTGAGGCAGGCTGATGCGTAACCGAGATACACCGCCAGGCCGATCTCGTATTTCATGCCACTTGGAAGGAAGGGGTCATAGAAATCTGTGATGACATCATTGGTGGTCCAGGACACCGTGGTCAAGCAGAGTAAACCGGCACAGAGAAAACATATCCCTCCGCTCATGACTAAGGGGGACTTGATTAATGAGCCTTGGGCAAAGTAGGTGCACTTCATCCCCATCACAGAAACCACAATTGCCAGGACGGAGGTGACACAGGAGAGCACCATGAGTGCACGGGCAGCCTAATTATGAGGAACAAAAAAACATTTTACGCAACATGATTCTTTTCAGCTTGATTCTAATGAAGAAACTTACAAGCTCTAACTAAAGTGTACAGAGGCAGTACTGTACCTGCATGTCCTGTGGCAGCGCCAGTAAAGATCTATACAGCTCACACTGATAGATGCCCGTGCTGTGCCATACACATTCCATCCACAGGCCTTTCATGTAGGCAGTGGCCGTGATGATGTTTGAACCGATGTAGGCTGAGCATCGCCAGTGTGGGAGCAGAGTGGCAGCTACAGTTCCCACAAACCCAAGCAGGCTCAAGACGAAACCGAGGAGCTGGACTGCAGTGTTGGCCATGTTTGACTCACGTGTAAGGACTCCCAAGCTGCAAAGTTCCACATGTAGTTTCAAATGCCAAGCAGATGATGAGCACAGAAGGATATTGGTAAGTGCATTCACCAACTACAACGTCAGCTACATGTGCATAATCTAACAATGTCTATGAAAAATGTTGTCGATGCATTGTTTCACAACACTTTTAGAGAGGTATTAAATCGAGTAATGTGTTTATTATTGTGGGTGACATTTGCAGTGTAGTACGACTGCATATTGAGACACATTGTTTCTGCACTGTGGCTGTCTTCTACATTTTACGGCAATACTGTATGCACCATTTTCAATGCCGCTTGTCCTCTTTGGGGTTGCGGGTGAGCTGGAGCCAGGCCAATCGCAGATCATATATAGACTTCACACTCACATTCACACCGATGGACAATTCAAAGTCTTCAATTGACAACATTCATGTTTTTGGAACGTCGGAGGCAGCCAGAGTGAAAAACACCAGCACAAGAAGAACATGCAAATTACATACAGGGAAGGCGGTGTTCGGATTTAAACCTATGAACTGAGCGGCAGACATGCTAAATTCTAGTCCACTGTGCTACCTCGAATGTGACGCTGAATAAAATAATAATTGATGGGGGTGGACTCTACCTCTCACTCTTAGCTGGGTTTGGGTTTCAATCATTTGTCATTCTGTACAGGATAAATGGTTTAAGAAAACATTAGGACACCTTTCAGTATGATTAATTTCAGTTTGACACAACAAATCTTCAACATTACAACAGGTGCTCAATCTGTACCTCGATGACAATACCCCAACAGTGCATTTGCATTCGGTAAAATGTTTCATACAGCTGTCATTTTACTGGATGGGCGAACCTACTTATATCTAAAATACAGAAAAAAGGCTATATGGACTAAAAAGTACCTTTGACGACAGATGCATTTTTTGAGTCCCTCAGGCTTGTAGATGTACTTGACTCTTCCAGTTAAGGACACTGTCCCCGGTAGTACAGTGAATTCCAGCGAGCTTACATTTCGTCACGGACTCTGAGCTATTCCTCAAGTGTGAAGCGAAGGAGCTGAGACTATTCTGGCATCAGTCTCCGCTGAGTGGCAGGTGTCTGCATCTGTAACTAATGAGAGCAGTGTTCAGTTTAAAGCTTCTCTCAGGAGGGCACGCTACTCTAGTCTATTGCTAACATCCTCACCCCCGCCTCCGGAGAGAAGAAATTAAACATTGACAGAAACCAGCCAAGCTTGGATTACTGTACTGATACAAACCACAAACTTTGAAAATGCTCACACTTATAAAGGTGGTGTTCAAGTATTATGCCCCCTGCTAAAGTCTGACCGATAGTATCATTTCTGATATGATGTGACACGAGCTCACCTCGCACTTGCTGTGGGAATTTCACAGCAGCACAACTCGCTCAGTTAAGTTAAGCATTTACCTCCTGCTGCGTGTTTTGAACAAAAGGTCAAGGAGAAAAGAATCTTGAGAAATGACTCGGTAGTTTCACAACAGTGGCAAGCTAAATTTGGCACCTGCCAAAATGTTGTTAGCACTTTCAAAGAGGAATATCACATTCTGTATAAAGTTCATCGCGCTCAGTTAAATGATATAACGCATATTTGTACAATCGTTCAACAACTAGAACAGGGGTCCCCAACCTTTTTTGCCCCAAGGACCGGTTTAAATCAGACAATATTTTCAGGGACCGGCATTTAAGGTGTGGCGAATTAATACAACAAAATAATATGGTATGAGCTGCATGAAAACTGTGGTGTTTTCGAAATATAATAATAAACACAAGGAGCGTCTAATCTGGCCGCAACACTCTTATCGCTCTGGTAATGTTTAATGCCTTCAAAATATGATACAACGCAAATTCAAAGTGCATGAAAATGACGACTCACCACAGCCCCCGAGCTTGATTTTCTGCAATCAGACAGTCCCATCTCGGGGTAATAGGAGACAATGACACCTCAAGTGTGTGGTTTATGTCCAGTCTACTTCGTAATTTTGTTTTAGTCGCCGTTGCTGCAGAAACTCCCCACTTCACACAGGTAGGATGTCGGAAATAGCAACAGTGCTATTGTGGCGATCTCAGAGTATTCAGCCATAACTTTGATCCAGTAGTTTCGAACGTACTTTTAAGGCCGCCGTCATTTGCGATCTCCA